CAGCCACCTGCCTCCACCCTGCTGGCAGGACATCCTGAAGACAGAGCGGCTCTCCTAATGTCAAGGGCAGACCAGGCCATGCTATAAAAAGAAACCTGTTATTTTCCCTTTGGCCACAGCCTCTGCCCAGCCCCAGGTCCAGCCTTTGCAAGCTTGTAGATGGTGCAAGAGAAGCGGTGTGGTGGTTTTTAACCCGCCTGGCAGCAGGCTACAGCTTTATCAGCCCCCTCCCGAAGACGGGATTACTAAAGACGACGACGGCTCCACACAGCTCTGAGCATCCTGACTCACAGCACCACATTGGCAATCACCCAGACCCCTGAGCTCAGTGGGGGCAAAGCACGCAGCGTAATTTAGATTGGGTTTATCTCCTCTGGGGCAGGATTCAGTCTTGATTGCTACAGGAGAAGCTCCCACAGCTTTACAAAGCTCTGCAGCCCAGGGAAGGCCGCCTCACGTGAAGATAATGAGCTTTCCCAACACGGGAATGCTGTCCCTGGGGCTGGATCCTGCCCCAGGCAGAGCGGGCAGCCTGGGGCCAGCCAGAGCTCCTGCTGCCTGCCTGGGGTGGTGACAGACATGGCACGTCTGAATGCAGCAGGGCCAGGGGGATTCAGGAAGCTCGAACACTAACTTGATCAGAACTCACAAAATCATCCTCCCCCTCTGCTCTGTCACTGTTTTGGGTCCATTTAGACCCAGTTTAGTCACCACATAAACATACGTTGCACTAATGGCCTCAAGTTGCATCAGGGGAGGTTCAGATTGGATATTAGGAAAAATTTCTTTACTGAAAGAGTGGTCGGGCGTTGGCCCAGGCTGCCCAGGGCAGTGGGGGAGTCCCCATCCCTGGAGGGGTTCAGAAAACGTGTGGATGTGGCACTTCGGGACATGGTTTAGCAGGCATGGTGGGGTTGGGGTGATGGTTGGACTCGATGATCTTAGAGATCTTTTCCAACCTTAATGATTCTACGACTAGCACGTGAACGCAGAGTGCATCTCATCGGAGCCCCAAAGATCATTCGCCCTGTTCAGACTTAACTGCTCTTCCCACCAGCACAGTATTTCCAAAGAAAAAGGCTCCGTTTCTCTTCTTGATGGGCTCTATGGAAAAAAGGGCCAAGATGTACGAGGCAGAGCCACCTCTGGCAGTTTAAAAATGGAAGATGTGCTCAGCGTTTTCTAGACCACTAACAAGTTTTAATTACCTCTTCGGTTAAGCACAGGATCAACTTGGAGAGGAGGCTGAGTCACTCACGCCAGCAACACAGACCCTGCAGAGAGGGACGTGAGGAGCCAACCTGAGCGGGACAGGCTGAGGGGGGCCGCTGGGGCAAAATCCTGCAGGCAGCACGCAACGCCGCTCGGGAAAACCTCTCCCAACACCCTCCTGGCAACGGAGGGGTGGGGGAAGAGAGCAGCACCCGCCGCGTCACAGTGTGCCCCTCCGCAGTTTACCTGGTCTGGGATTATTTCGGTGTTGAGGGCCGGAGGAGCCCGGCCATCTATTTTCAAAAGCTGCTGCTCTGCAGACGGCGATGGCACCTTCTTTCCGCTGGGCTTTTCACCAAGCGGCTTACGGTGTTTGGAGCGTTTTGGTGCCGATCCTGCAAACACTCAGGCAGGTCACTGGGCTCTAATCTGCTGCTGCTGCAATTAACGCTGATCCTGCAGGCGCTTCCCTAAGCCGCAGCACTCCGGAGAGTTAAGTACTGTTATTCTGAGCCGGACTTTCTATTGGCTTAAGGCAGCGAAGGGTAGGTTTAGGACTGATTTTCCCCTTCTCAGCCTGAAGGTTTTGAGGTGAAGCCCAAAGAAAGACTCCTCTGGTGTTTCCAGGAAGGTGAGCTTGCAGGGCAACAGGAGAAAAAAGTCCTGTCTGAGCTGTCCCGAGACATCAGGATATCCACGGGCTCACAGAGGCAAAGCCCTCTGGACAGGGGTTTGGGACACAAGGTCTGCTAGGGATCCGAGGACACAGGTCCTAACGCACCGCTGCCCCTGCAGCACTGGGACGTCGTTGCCTCTGCACAGCGTTAGGTGTTATCTGGAGCAATTAAAAGAACGCTGGTCTCGAATTAAGGTCAAAGTTACCATCTGGCCATGCTCTCTGCCAGGCTGGAGGTGTTTCAGTGTGGAAAACTAAACACGGATGAGTGGAAGCTGGGGTTGAGCTACCTGAGGGACGCCCGATGTAAGCCAAAGCCCGCACATTTCGCAGCTACGGGACTTGAATGCGGGCGGCCTGAGTTAGAGTCCAGATGCTGAGGAGCGCTGGTGCTCAAGCAGTCCCCGCACTCCCCAGCCCCGCTGGTCTCCCAACCCAGGTTAATGTGAGCGCAGGGCAACAGATGGGACAGAGAAAGAGAGGGGAGAAAAACGCACCAAGAACTGTGTAAACCAGCAACACCCTTTAAAAATGGATGTGGAACTCCCGGCCCAAGTGGCAGAGACCTACCAGCGTGCCTGCGGACTCACGCCCAGCCCAGAAAGCAAGTTTTCCCGCGGGAGAGCAAGCATTCACATGTCCGGTGAAAGCTGCCATTGTGAAGAGGCCAATCCATGTTCCCTGAGGTACGCCCACGTAACACACCCAATTTCAAAACCTCTGCCAAAGCCCCTACTGCAGCTCTGCAAGCCGGGGCAGAGCGGAAGGGCTGAAGGCGACGCTGTCTGGATACCACAGCTGAAGCAAATATTTACACAAGAGCAATGCCAGCGGGCTGCTGGCTACCTTGGTCCTTGGAAGCCTTAAAATTCACTGCCCCAGTCAGCTGCGGTCAGCTTCTCACCAGGAGAAGCGTTTAATATCGCTGTCTTGTGATACATCAGAGCGGCAGACTGAGTTATCGCCTTAATTAGCACCCATGTGTCAAGGGAGCCGCTGTAACCGTTCCGTATCTCCTCACCCACGTCCCCATTTCAGCGGCCATTCTCAGCACGGCTCCACGCTGCTGGATACAGGGGAACAGCAAGCTGCTCACCGCTGCTTGGCATCCACACGGCGGGATAACGAGCCGCTCCGGACTGGGGGCTGCGCACAATGGCTCCTTACTCACAGCAGTGCCGGTCTGTGTCCCTTTTACGTGGCCTAGACTCAGGTTGGTAATTTAGGGTTCGGTGTAGGGCAAGCTTGAGGAACGCAAAGCCACCTCCAGCGGGCTCGCAGCCCGAGGCGGGAACCCCGAGCCCC